GTCGGCGGGTAGCGGCGGCGGCGCATGTCGGTTTGGTTTCTTCCCTGCGGAACTGCCCAGTAAGTTCTAACGGTTAAGTTTTTATTTTTTTTAGTTTTTATTGTACTTTTAATTCAATTTAAACACTAAATTACAGCCTTATTTAATATGAATTTGATTGTTAAATGACTAATTGCATATTTACAGCCTTTTTTAACTGTTTACTTGTTTAAAGTTGTAATCATCATAATTTGCTTGTGAATTGTTATTATTAATCTAAGTATTTATTTCAATTTAAAAATTAAATTACAGCCTTGTTCAGTATGAATTTTATTTTTTAAAGGCTAATTACAGCATCGTTTAGTATGAATTCTGTTGTTACTTGTAAAGTTGTAATCATTAAAGTGCTTGTGATTTTTTATTATTAATCTAATTATTAAATTCATTAGTATTAGTGTCATAACTACTAACCCCCTTATTTTGAATAATGTAATGAATAGAACAGTTGTTAAATTGTGGTGGTTTTATATTTGACTTTAATGAAAACTCTCATTCCTATAGTATTTATTTTTGTCTTTGATTTGGTTGTTACAATAGATATTTTTTTGCAATATGTGTTATTTAAATAAATTTAGGCCCCTCCTCAACCCCAAAGCTAGATCCGCCCCTGCTAGCAGCATCGCATTCATCGTTTGTCGCTCAGCCTTTTTGCCCTTACAAATCACATGTAAAGGAAATTACATGTAGTGTGCTATTATTATAGATAGAATATTTGTGGAAAAGGTGTATACATTAAGTTAATGGGCCCCTGAGGCACATGCACTGTAATGTCTTACCTTCCCTACTAGAATAGTACCTGTGCGTTGCACTGGAAGAATTATTTTCCATATGCAAGAGTAGTTTGTTGAAACATATTTGTCTTAATTTAATAATATTAATTGTAAATATATAGTAAAAATAACTAATTGAAAAAATTCCAATAGCACATTAAAACCTGAATATTTTGAAAGTGCATTAAAACATGAATATTATGATCTGACTGTTTTGTAAATTATGAAAAAGTTCCTTAAGTATCTTGAGAACACGTGAATGATGAGAAATAAAAGGTTTTCACATAAATATCACAACACTAGATAAATGTTGTATTTGGTGATAAAGGTTGTATTTGGCTCTTGTTCATAGTTCTACAAATGTTGAAAGTCCATGTCTAATCCAAAATCTTATTTTCTTTTGATATTTCTACATTTGGTTTTTCTTTTTAGATTAGATGTAATTATATTAGACCATTGATTTGTGAGGACTAAATAAAATGAAAAATTATATCCGTTCACATATCAAATTATATATATATATATATATATATATATATATATATAGGGGTTAGTTCCTGTGAGAACACCCTCTTAGGAGACTAAAAAAGATTAAAATCGAACCTTCAATCATCTCAATCCAATGGTCTAGAAATGTTCGAAAAAGAAGGAAATGATGCATTAATTGCGGATGATTCAACTCGTATTTAAGGAAACGTACATTTTTACATTTGCAAAAGGGCACAATGGTAAAGTGATTTAGGTGATTATCATGCACGACCCAACATTATAGGAAGTCATCCTATTTTTTAGGCTATTCATTAATAAGAATGCGTAACTCCTAATTTCTCTAAACATATTATTTAATTTTCTTTCAATGTTAAATTTTCTTTCAAATCATTCGGATATTTTATTTGAAAAAATCTATATGCAATCCAGAATTATTTTTCATGATTAACCTTTTTCTATCGAGACGCAATACTCATCAATATATAGAATCAACATAGGTTCGTTAATTTGCACCTATTCGTTGAATACATGCACTTTTTACTCAAAACTGAATGCAACATTAATTTAATTAAATATTTGATTTTTTTCATATATATTTATTTAAATAATCAATACCACTCATGAATGGATCATAACATTCTGAAGATAAATTAATTTTATATTATAATAATTTGCACTTTTGCAAATTGCACATTTATGTCATTAGTCAGCACTTCCTATTATATGATAATTTTTTAAGTTATACATTGGCATCTTTTTTAAAAAATGAACTGCACTTTTATCATGTCCATTCTAAATACATACAAATGTGCACCATTATATCACATTTTCTCCATTTTTACTTTGACTTGTTTTTGCAAAATGATATGCACTTTCGTTGATTGTGTTATACAAGTTTTCATTTACATTTTGGTATAAAATATAATGCACTACGATATGCAAAATGTTGCACTACTAACGATTTTAAATGCAGCACGTGGTATTAAATGAAACGTACTTTTAATTTTATCACATATATTTGAATTACATACAAAAGTGCACTATTTCACCACACTTTCTACAATTTTACAACGAAACTTTTTACAAAATTCAATGCACATTTTCTTCCAATGGATTATGATAGTTCCATTGACACATCATCATATATGGAAAATAGTAAAAAAATAATGATAAACTAATAAAAGTGCAGACCATTTTTCTGAAAAGAATAGTGAAATAGCAGGCTAGAGTATGATAAAGTGCGTCATCAATTAAAAAATAGGATTAATTATAAAGATTAAATGAATTCAGCGTGTGATGAATTCAAATACACTTTAACTAGCTAGTTGCAAAGACACTCCATTGTTCTCGGTGGCTAGAACATGGCCGGAGTTGAGAAGTCCTTTGTTTTCTAACGAGTGCTTGAAGTATAAGTTGTCAAACTTAGTTTCTAGTTGAGTTGACATAGCCCAAGAAGAAGAGGTTAATTATCGTTTCCGCCAGAGATGGGGCACTTTGAGCGTAGCTGAGCGGCATAACGTGGGTCCACGGTGGAGTTCGGCGGCCTGTTTCCGGATTGGTTGTAAAGCATTTGTCTGAAGCTTGTGCATCTTGAAGCTAGGCATGGACCCGGTTCGGGCCGCCCGGCCCGGGACCGGCCCGGCCCGGCACTGTGCGAGCCCGGAACCGGCCCGGTTCTCGGGTCCGGGTCCGGGTCGGGCCTAGGCCCGGTGGGGTGGGCGGGTCCGGGCTCGGGCCTTGTATTTGGCGAACCGGCCCGGCCGGGTCGGGCCCGGGCCCGGGCCGAAATGATTTTTTTTTAATTTTTTTTTTCTTTTTTTGGGGTTAGCCAAGTTGGGCTTGATGGTTAGGAGGGGTTTGGGGGTTTGGGGGGGGGTGTGGGGGTGAGTGGGGGGGTTAGGAAAGCAAAAAAAAAATTATAACCGAACCGGAGGCCCGGCCCGGCCTGGCCCGGACCCGGACCGGACCCGGTGGCTACCCGGGCCGGTCCCGGGCCTTCCTTCCCAAAAAAAAAGCCCGGCCGGGCCCGGCACGGAACCGGAACCGGCCCGGCCCGGGTCCATGACTACTTGAAGCTTCATCTGTTTGACTCCCTATGAAGGGATAGAGCTATTGAGAAGGATGAATGCGCATGTCAAGAACCTTAAAAAATCATATGAATAGTTATACAATGATTATACTTGGTATATTGTACGGAGATAATTATGGACACAGTTATAACTTCTATGGAAGAGAAAGATACGGAGTATTGAGTATCTGATAGTTATGGAAACAATCGAATGGCTTTAATGTGATATGAAAATATCATATTTACCCTTAATGAGAAAGTGTCGAAATAATAATATAAATCAAGATCTAACGGGATGACATTGATTCTTTTTTACTCTCCTAAGATTAAGTTCCCACATGAACCTAAATCTATATATATATATATATATATATATATATATATATATATATATATATATATATATATATATATATATATATACTACTTGCTAGATGAAAGTGTGTGGTACATGTATCTATACTTGTGTTTGATCTAATTATATACCTGCTTGTAATAATGGGTTGAGTTTGGCCAAATTTCATTTTTTGTAGAACTTATTTTTTAAAGATTCCTGTAGTTCATGTGTGTGTTCTCGGACCATCAAACATTGCAGTATACGGAGTATATGATTGTTTATATGATATACTCTTTAGTTGGGCAAAAAAAAAAAATATATATATATATATATATATATATATATATATACTACCTCTATTCTTAAATAAGTGCAACAGTCAACATATCACATTTGCCGAGACACAACTTTGACCATTGATATATATAACTCTCTATTAGTAAAAATTAAAAAATTAGATTTTGAAAATTTACAATGAGACAAATTTAGTAATATTTTTTTTCAAAAATATATATTAATACATCAATAAATAAAATGTAGTCAAAGTAGAACATGTAAATAGTGTAAAATTTGCAATGTTGCACTTATTTAAGAACGGAGGTAGTGTGTGTGTGTATACAGGATTAATCCTGTCCGGAAATTCCGGACAGGAGCCCCGTCCGGCCTCCTCCATTTGGGGGCCTTCCCGGTGGTATTTTTTGCTCAAATTTTTTGTGTATGTTCCTCATAAAGTCTTCATCCATACCAAATTTCAAAAACAAAATCAACCGGGAAGGTTGTCAAATGATTTTTGCAAGTTAACTGGTCCGGAATATGTATTTTCCGGACCAGTTAACTTGCAAAAATCATTTGACAACTATCCCGATTGAATGTTTTTCTGAAATTTGGTATGGAAGAACTAGACTTGATGAGGAACACACACAAAAAAATTGAGCAAAAATACCACCGGGAAGGCCCCCAAAAGGAGGAGGCCGGACGACGCTCCGGTTAGGAAATTCCTGACCGGAAGATTACTCATATATATATATATATATAACCATGCTTAACGTGAGAACTATGCACTTTTACCACCACTTGATGCATGATGAGGCTTATTTATTACACTTTTTAAACTTTGGTAAAAACATGCCAACATCAAATAAATGTGGTGGCTGATTCGTAAATATTTTAACAACACCAAAATGTGCAAGGTATAAACGATATAGTGCATAAGATTTGCATTAAAGTGGAGTTCTCACGTTCTCACATTAAGCATAGTTCTTATTTGATCCAAAACCTATATATATATGAGTTAATTCCCTATCTAGGAGTAAATTATAACAAAAGTGCATAAATAGGAGTCTAAAGCTCCCTATAATTACGTAGGAGTAAAAATTAGTAAGTTGACATAAGTACCCTTAATGAAGGGTAACTTGATTTCTTTATTGAAAAAATAAAATAAACTACTCCGTACTAATACAAAGCTTCAGACACACAAAGCTTCAGAACACTATTCTCGTGCCCAACACCGAAGCCATAAGCCCAGAATTGTCCTTGCTAACATTTGCTATTGCGGCCAACACCAATTGCTACCGCCGTTGCTGCAGCCACCACGGTTGCTAGCCGCCGCCACGGCCGCCGCAACCACCCATGTTGCCTGTTGCCGCCGCCATTTCTATTGACGGCACAGCTCCGGCCATTGATGTTGGATCTTGTGCCGCAGGTACTCATCCTGTATTCTCGCCCCAACTTTGGCTTTTCAGCACCAGCTCTCGCACCACCAGCATCTACCTCAAGTCTTGAAAGAGTGTCCTAAAATATGCCTCTTAATGAAATTTGCACAAAAACAGAGGATACAGATGATATTGCCATCTTCACAATTTCATGACATTATAAACATAAATTTTCTTATTGCCATCAAGATAAACTTTAGTTCCATATAGATGGAATTATTGTTCAAATTAACTCTTTATATTGTCATCCTGATGAACTTTATTGCCATATAGATGACATTATTGTGTCAAATTAACACTTTATATGGACATCATGAAATTATTAGTATTGCATTTGCAGTGAAGTAATATTACCATCCTGATGGATTTCATGCCATAAAAGTGAAACTATGTATTGAAATTAACAGATTCATACAAAATTAGTGACGTGTTAATACAGAAAAGCCGTCTTTTTTTAATTGACAGTTGAATTAGAAATTGTGAAACTGGTAATTCCAAATTTAAAAAAAAACTAATCTGAAATATATAAAATGAATTTATAAAAAATCAATTGTAAAAATACAATTGAAATTCTATGAAAAAGAATGAGGGTACAAACGAATTGGGGGGATTAGGAGGAAGGATCGAATACGAAAAAAGAGGAATAAGAAAGGAGAAGAAAAAGAAAGAAGAGGAAGAAGAGAAGAGAAGGAGAAAGAAGAACGAACTTACTTGGCCTGTGCGCTACTGCTGTTCGTGGGAAACTTCACCATGGAGAAGAGAACATGGTCGCAGAAGAGACTGGGATATTGAGAAGAGGCGGTTGGATTTTAACGAGGAAGAGAGAAAAAATAGCGGATGGGGTGCAGGGCATAATGGGAAGAGGAAAACGGGAGGACGTTTATAAACTCCTATTTAGGATATAAATTTGAGTGTACTCCTATTTTGGAATTTTGGTGATACTTTACTCCTATTTAGGATAATAACTTTATATATATATAGAGTGCTATTCCTGTCCGGATCCGAAAAGGAGCCCCGTCCGGCCTCCTCCATTTGGGAGCCTTCCCGGTGGTATTTTTTTCTCAAATTTTTTGTGTATGTTCCTCATCAAGTCTAGTTCATCCATACCAAATTTGAGCAAAAAATTCAATCTGGAAGGTCGTCAAATCATTTTTGCAAGTTAACTGGTCCGGAAAATACATATTTCGGACCAGTAGAGGTCCGGAATATTTAAGATGTCTGATGTTTCGCAAAAGAACAAAATTTTCCAACTTATTAAGAGCATTCCTTCATATCATACTTAAATAACAAATTGACATTTGCAGTAGGGGTCAAGGATCTGTAAGGCCTAGAAGAACTGGTGCTTCTCTTGCTACTAACTGGGCTTCTGGGTAAGTAGTTTCTTCAGAACAAATCATTTTTATGTACAAGATGGAGCTGGTGCTCCTCCTCTGAACTGTTTGCATAATTTTTATGTTTTCAATGCATTGCTAAAATACCAAAAAAAATCAACAAATAAATATTGAGGTGGTATTTTTTCAATGCTCCAAAGGCAAAGAGGCCGAGGTGGACGCGGTGGTCGTGGCCGAGGAGCTGCTGGGGGTGGTCGTGGACGTGGAGGAGGAAGGAAGAAGAGCGGTGTTAAGAAGTCAGCTGATGAACTTGACAAGGAGCTTGACAGCTACCATGCTGAATCCATGCAGACTTGAATATACCTCGCCCCGGACACAAAGTCAAACCTCTCTAATCAGTGGATCCCCGTCTTTATCTAATTTAAGTTATCAGTATTTTTGCTCAGTGGTGATTATTACTGATTATTGATGAATTGATGTTGCGAGAAGGATTCTAGATGTTTGTTTTCTAATCTTTGCCAAGTTTTATCATTATTCGAACTAGAATCATGTACATGTTATATTAGTTTCTCTAACTCAAGAGTCAAGAAAGGTGAGTTTCTAATCTTTGCTTGTACTCCATAGTAAGTATAATTCTCATATAAAATGTAAGTTTTTGAATAATACATGTAATTTAATAATTTTGTACATACAAATTCAATTTTCGTAATGTAATAATATCGTCATCATTGATATGTACAGCTAGTGCCGCAAAGGCTTCCACCTACGGTGGGTAGGGGAGTCGGATGTACGCAATAGTCATGGAATGAACCGGGCCCGCAACCGGGTCTAGGCCCAGCTGGGCCCAAAAAAATTCTATGAGAAATGGGACCGGCCCGGTAGTTGATCAGTGCCGGTCTGGGCCAGGACCGGTTCCGGTTCTAATTTTTTGTTTTTTGTTTTTGTTTTCTTGATTATTTTATGCTCTACCCCCCATCCCCCATCCCACAAACCCATCTGAAACACCCATTGCAACCCATTTAAACCCAACCCAAAGCCCCAAACCAAAAAAAAAATGAAAAGGCCCAAACCGGGCCCGGAACTGGGCGGGCCGGTTCTCAATTCCCTAAGCCCGTACCCGCCCCCAGTTTCCCCTTCAAACTGGGCCTAGACCCAGCACCGGTTCCCGGGCCGGGCCCAAATAGTACCGGGTCGGGCCGATTTCCGGGCCGGTTGGCCCAAACCGGTCCAAGCCTACGCAGTCTTACTCATGCACTAAATCACAGAGAGGCTGTTTCCGAATGACCCATAGTGAAAATTGCGTCGAAAATTGCATAGACTGTTTGTTACTCCCTCCGATTTTTAATAAACTTCACACTTTCCTTTTTGGTATGGTCTAAAATAAACTTCACACTTCCTTATTTCCTTTTTTGGCAAAGAAATCTACATCAAAACAGTGCCAAACAGTGTCAAACAGTGTCTCAACAGTGCCAAACAGTGTCTCTACAGTGCCAAACAGTGTCAAACAGTGCCTCAACAGTGTACTCTACAGTAAAGTCAAATTTATTTCCTTATTTTGTGTGAAGTCAAACTGTGAAGATTAAAAAAAACCGGAGGTAGTACTTCATAAGGAATCATAACAAAGAAGTCATTTTGCTTTATTCCATCATGCTCCCAAGCCAGAAAATAGTGAGTCTTTGGCTCCAAATTGGACTTAATGGAAACGCAATGTAATAATATGAAAGGTTAAATTGAATTTGCACACCATTTTATTGTCAAAATTGGACTTTGCATCCCGTTTTTAAAAAACTTTGTTTTTGCACCCCAACCCCGTATGAAAAGACAAAAATGCCCCTCCATTAACAATTCTGTTGGTCTTCAACATATTCCTGATTGAGGGCTATTTTCTCTTTTCACAAGGGGTTAGGGTGCAAAAACAAAGATTTTCGAAAAAGGGATATAATGTCCAATTTAGACAATAAAATAGGGTGCAAACTCAAATTACTCCTAATATGAATGGTAAATATGCATCTATCAAAAATGAAATAAAATATTTCCACAATACAAATATAAAATATAAATATTTTATATTTTACGAATTTTAAAATATAAATATTTCAAAATATAAATATTTTACGAATTTTGAAAAACTTCCTTCAATACAACCATATTTTTGCCATATGTCACATAAATAAATATCATCAAACCATCGATTATTTTTCAAAAACTATTTATTTACAATGTCATGAAATTTTATTAAGAAAATGCAAATTAATAATCCAACCTTTTAGCGGTCTTCTTACAATAGTCCCACCTTTTGATTATTCATGAATAATCCAACCTTTGCACCTCATCTTCATTCACTGGTCCCTGACCGGTTGATGACCTGTAATTACAAGTTATTTTCTTATCTTTGCAAAATATTATCTTTGTGAAAAGTGAGATTTATGGTATAATGGTTTACAAAGATAAGAAAATAACTTGGAATAGCAGGTCATCAACCGGTCAGGGACCAGTGAATGAAGATGAGGTGCAAAGGTTGAATTATTCATGAATAATCAAATGTGGGACTATTATAAGAAGACCACTAAAAGGTTGGATTATTAGTTTCCATTTTCCCAATTTTATTTCATGTAATATACTATGTAGTAAGCATCTTTTTTTTAAAATCTTTTAAGTAGTTGACATATCCAAACCAAAACGCAGAACAAAATCTCACAACCCAAACTCAACCAAAAGCCCAAAACCCGAGTACAAACTAGTGGAAATTACCGGTTTGAACCTTTTTTACATATGATATACTTCTTCCGTTCCTTTTTCATTGCAACAGTCCACTTTTCACGCTTGCCAACGCATAAGTTTGACCGTTAATATCTTTCATTACTTATTAGTAAAAAAATTAAAAAAATTGAAAATTTATTATGAGAGGAATTTAAAAATATTTTTTAAAAATTTAATTCGTAATACATTAATTAATAAAATGTAGTCAAAGTAGAATCTGTGAATAGTGAAAAAAGTCCTACGTTGCAATTAAAAGAGAACCGTAGTACTATGTATCGTTTATGACCCAAGCCAAAACTTTTTTCATCTTTAAACTTTCTCCTTTTCAATTTTATTCACTCAGCCTGATTTTTATTTCAAACATAACCCCCCTCCCTATTTGCTTGCCATGTGGCAAAAAAAGAAATGAAATGCCAAATGGCAACATTTGAGCTATGGGGGTGATGTTCACCCTCCAAGGAGGGGTGAACAAAATTGCACTAGGCTGCCCGTCCTTTGAATGAACTGGCATGTTCACGCTAGTCCAGCCGAAGCACCACCGCCATAATCTTCTCCTTCCTCATGTCAACGCAAACGATGGGTGAACCTCAGCCGAACTCTTCTTTGGCTTTCAGATCCAATACTTCTTCTGTCATGAAATAATCCAAGTTCCTTATTTTGTGCTTTGACCTACTCGATTTTTATAAAAGATTTTACCTCTTCCGGCTCTTGTTTCGGAGAAGTAAGGAATCTATGATTCGCGATTGTCTTCTTCAATTTTGAGATAAGTATGACAGTGTAAAATTGGATGCTAGCTCAATCGAAACTTCTAGTTCATCGAACCATGTTAGCAACCGAAACCTGAATGAGTTCTACCTAAAGAGCGGCCAGAACTGATCCAAAAATGTTCTTAGACACACAATAGGAAGCCAACCGGCCGGTCGTGTAGTGATGGAGCTCTTCAGCGATGCTTCTGCACTTCAAGGGCTTCATGTTCCACCGCGCGATCCCCAATTTCATGTGCCAGGGCGGCGATTTCACAAGGGGAAACGAGACCGGAGTTGAGTCGATCTACTGTGTCAAAGTTTGCAGACGAAAACTTCATTAAGAAGCACACCGGCATGACATCCTCTCTATGACAAAATCCGGGCCAAAAACCAACAGATCCATTAAGTTTTACAGTTAGATTGCTTGATTATGAACTTGTTTTGATAGATTTTGATTTCGCTGAGATTCTATTCAGATGTTTTAAGAATTAATTTACAATGTTAGTATCAATAGTTCTGAGCCCAATTTTATGCTCATTCAACAGTTATATGGCATACATGCCATATACTTCGTATTTTGATTCCTTGATTACTTCTTTTGAGAGAATAGTTGATGACGTATTGACTATAGGGTTTAATATATAAGTTATAAGTTATAACAACAATACAAGTTCATCTTATATTTTTCTTCCAAACCCCATTCCTTCATCATCTTATGGTTCACTATTCCATGCACGATTGCATATTTGCATTTAGGCTTTAGCCACCTCAATAACATGTTTCAGATGTTGTCATCTACAACCTTGAGCCTAGAGCTAACAAGTATATTACATCTCTATCTACAAAGAATTTCTAATGTTTGATATTGTGATTCTTTTTTTTGCAACAATTCCAGTAGCCTCTTAGGTTTATTAAAATGATTTTGAAATTATGCTCTCCAGTTTGAGTATTCAAATACTACGTAGAATTTTACTATGAAGATAAAAATGTTCAACTCTGTAGTAGGAAATCCATAGAGAAAACCTAGCAAAATCTGGAAATTAATAGAAGTTTGCAGAGGATGAACTTTGAGTTTCGGTAAAAATGTCACAAGAAAAATGAGTAAACATGATCATGTTTTATCCTTTAA